ACTCTACCATATAGTTTGTCCAGATAATCCTGAGTCAGAAGAACCCTGAGTTTTTAATCTCCATTGCTGAATTTTTTAATTACCTAGACTTACATAAAAATACCTCAAATTATCAAGACTGACCATAAAGGACAATTCCAAAGGTCAAAATAAATTTTAATATGTAATTTAATTTAAAAAAAGCATTACCTGGAAAATCTCTCAATAAGTGTAAGTTAAGTAAGTTCTAAATAAACCATGGTTTAAAAACAAACAAACAAACAAATAAAGTATTTTGAATTGAATGATAACATTTAACATTTTATCACTTAAATTATTCAAACTCAATGATGAAGTTTTCATCTTAAGATGGCAGGAGAAGAACAGCAAATTAAATGCAAAGTAAGCAGAAACAAAATAATAAAGAGTAGAATGAAATACAAAATAGATTAAAAATAGAGAAAAATCAATGAAAACATGTTTTGTTCATTGAAAAAAATAGTAAAATTGGGAAACCTCTATTTTGATTGAAGAACAAAACTAGCCAAAACACAAATTATTAATATGTGGAATGATAGAGAATCACCACAAATCCTGTAGATATTATAGAGGCAATAAGGAAATAATGTAAAAAAGTATGTCAATAATATAACAAATAAGATGAAATGGAAAAAAATTCTTTGAAAGACAAACTGTATTGACATAAGAAGAAAAGATAAAACCTGAGTAACTACTAAAGAAACTGAATAGTTAGAAGTATTCCCATTAAGAAAACACCATTCTCAGAAGTTACATGGCTAATTCTTTAAAGAGCTCAAGGAAGAAATAGCATCAGTTTTACACAAAAGCTTTCAGATAATAGCAAAAGAGGAAACATCATTCAGCTTATATCAGGAAGCCAGCACAACACTTACACTAGTCAAAAGCATTACAAGAAAATTATAGACTGATATCTCTCATGAACAAAGATCTGAGCAAAATTCTTAACTTGAGCCAAAATCCTTAACAAAGAATTGTTATTAATAATCCTTATTAGCAAATCAAATCAAATCCAGCAATATATAAAAAGGATAATAAATCATAATGACATGGGGATTTATCCCAGGAATACAAGATTGGATCACGATTTTAAAATCAAGCAGTGTAAATCATCAAAGTGACAGGATAAAGAAGAAAAATCATGAGACTCTTTCAATGGATGGAGATAAGAATTTGACAAATCTCAACATTCATTCATTATAAAAACAAACAATCAACAAAAATTCTCAGCAAACCAAAGATAGAAAATTAATAGATAAAGGTCATCTACAAAAACCACACACAGATAAATCTCATCTACAAAAACCTATAAATAACATCACACTTCATATGTATAAATATTGAATGCTTGACCTCTAAGGGAACAATGCAAGAAGAGTTGTTTTCATAATTTCTGATCACAGCCCTAGAGGTCCAAAAGAGTGAAATAGACAGGAAAAGGAAATCAGAGGCCTAACATTTTAAAGGAAGGAGAAGTCTGTTTAGATATGGGTGAAATGATCAAGTGTGTGAAAGTGCTAAGGAATCTAAAAACAGAACAAAAAACCAGAAACCTTATTTAAATTAGTGAATTTAGGAAAGTCAAAGGACCAACCAAACTCAATACATAAAAATCAATTAATTTCATCTCTATTTTCTATCAATGACCAATTGAAAAATTAAATTAAAAAAATACCATTACAATAGCATCAAAACCAAAAATGTTTAGAGATAAATTTAGTAATATGGGTGCAAAACTACAACACATAACACTAAAAAGAAGAAAAAAACATTGCTCAGGAAAATCAATGAGGCAATGAGATCTAAATAAATTGAGAGATATATCATGTTCATGGATTAGAAAACTCAATATTGTTAGGGTTTCAATTCTCCTCAAATTGATTCATAAATTTAATGCAATCCCAATCAAATCCTAGCAGGCTCTTTTATGTAGAAATTGGCAAGCTGACACTAAAATCTATATGAAAAAATATATGGTCCCTAGAATAGTTAAATCAATCTTAGAAAAGAAAAAGGGAGGAGGACTTACAGTTTCTGATTTTATGATTTACATTAAAGCTGTTAAGACAAAGCAGTATTGGACTAAAGACAGACAGACTAATAGAACAGACTAGGGATTGTAGAAATAGAGCTACTCTCACAGTTCAATTTTTTTGCCAAGTTGTTAAAATAATTCAATAAAATAAGGAGATATTTTTTTCAATATAAGAGTAGGACAACTGGTTTCTACATGGAAAAACTAAAACAAAAAATACCAAGCCCTAACACATATCTCATACTATAAAGAAATTAATTTGAAATGGACTACAGGTCTAACTGTAAAAGAAACATTTCTAAATCAATGATTGCTAACATAGCATTGTGAAAGTACTATCCATAACAGAAGAAACTAATGAAACTGACTCCATCAATTTTTTAAAAATCCTGCTCCTCAGAAGGAAATGAATTCACAAACTGGATGAAAATATTTACAAGTCACATACTTGATAAAGGAGATGTACACTACAGCTCATTAACAGACTACCCAGTAACAAAACAGGCTGAAGATTTTCTTCACAAAAAAGAAGAAATGTTAACTAATGGTCAATAAATCCATAAAATCGTGCTCAACATCATTAGTATTTGAAAATGCAAATTAAAAACATAAGGTGATAACCATATACCCATTTACAGGCATGAATAAAAATTAGAAGTTTGAAACTTCCAGCATTGGTGAGAATTACAGTACCTGGAATTTACACACAGCATCTGTGGAAGCTAACAATGGTACAACCTCTTTGGAAATAAGTGTGGCAGGTTTTCACTAAGTTCAACATACACCTTGCCTTGGTCCCTACCACTGTCCTATGATGAAACAACTTCAAATTTAATACATTCACTGACTTTCCTTTCATAATTTAACTGACTAGGTGAAATGGTGTTATCAAGAAATTTTGAAATTTCCAAAATTTTGTTGTCAGAAGACTTATCTCAGGACACTCCTTTCATTGCAGGCTCTAGCCATTTTTTTGGTGAAGTACACAGAATGAAATGCTTTGTCAGTGAATTTGGAGAAGGACCCAGACATGTATGTATGAATGTGAGCACAGGTATCACCCCCAAATTTCAGCAGTAACTGGCCTAGAACAGAAGCCAAGAAACCAAGCCCACATACCTCTGATACCACTGGACATACACAGACCCAGCTGGATTATGTGTACTATTAATGTAACTTTAGCACAGATCATCTTGCCTAATGGTTGCAGTGGGCATTGCACATTCCTGATGCCATTCACATCAAACCATTCAGAGCAGTGTTCTGTGGAAGGGGTGCTACTCTGTCACTTCTAGATTAAACAGTATTTTAATCAATTGCTTTGATTCTATCCAGCTGACAAAAAGTAATTCATTTATGTCATCCTCCATAACGGTTTCCCCAAACACAGGCAAATAATACCTATAAAAATCTTGTGGAAATAATAACACAAGCTAACATTTATTGAGCATTTAATGTATAGGAATATATGCCAGCAACTGTGCTGAGTACTTTAAAACAAACTTATGAGGTAGTCTTATTATTTTTGCCTATTTTAAATATAAAGGAAATGAAGCTCACAAGAGAAGTGGTTTTCCCAAGGTTACAGAGTTCAGATGCAGAGATCAAATTCCAACACAGGTCATCTGAGTGAGTCTAGAGTACAAATGATGAATTGCAGTACTATGGAGTCTTAGTAGTGTTCTTAGGAATTAACTCTGGGAAACACTGCCTTTTATCATGTAGTTCAGTCTTTTCTCTTTACACTGGCATCCAAGGAGCAAAACAATTAACTATCCAGAAGCAGTCCATTAAGAATTCTTAGGAGGCATATATGCTTCAGGCCTTTTCTCTTTACTTTCCAAATTGTAATGAAATGTTAAGGTGAGGACTCTTTTCATCATCTTTAAGACAAGTTTAATTCCCACCGCAAAATGTAACAGTTGTGAATTAACTTTTTTTTTTTTTACTTTTGATGTAAATGTTTTGGGCTCTATCTGACACTGGGATGCAGGATGATTCTGAATGACTTGACCGGCATATGTAATGTATCATCATTATCTGTCTCCAGATCATTGAACAACATCCTGGAAAGTATTAACTGTCTGGGGTTCTGTGTTAGGTGAGAGACCCAAAGAGTATTTTAGACACAGTCTGTTTCAGGAGCAAGAGTTCACACAAGAAAACTTTATAATTTTTATTTATTGTAGGTAAATAGTACAATCAATTTAATGTAGTATAGATAATATCAACATATAAATCACTTTCTATCATTTTAAGTAAGGTTTAATTTTCATTTTAGCAATGGTGGCTAGTGGTTTCTTATAAACCTGCTTGAATACCGATAACAGTGTTTAAGATGATCATTTTAAAATTATATTTTTTGAGAAGAAATATTTTATATCTTATTTAACTACTTGCATACAATTAGAGACTGCTATTTATAATGTTTCATTGCTATAGTTAATGATTCTAAGAATATCAATGCACACATAATTCTCTTTCTGTTAAGTTACTTGTTCAGGGAAAATTCCTGAAGTATTAAGTCATATGGTGCGACCATTTTTATGGCTCTTGAACTCTGCCACCAATGATTTCTAAAAGGGCCTTTACAATTCACCAACCATATGCAACTCTACCACTTTTGTTATATCTTTGTTAGCTTTAAATATTTTCTGGATTTTTGATTTTTCATGACTGTACAGATATAAAATGATTCCCATTACCATAATCATGGATTGTTTAGCCACATTTGGGCACTAAATTACAAAACTATAAAGAAATGTTTTCAGTGCGTTTATATTGATGGAAACTTTCTCTAAAGATTTTTCATTCAACTTTGATTACTTTGTGTCAGATATTGGGTTAAGGGCTGGAGCTCTCTCATGCTTAATTCCTCCTTTTTCCCCTTTTCCCCCCAATGCTACATGAGGAGTTCACAGATTCATCTGCTGACCACATCCATTACCTTTCTGTTTCACCTTGGCTGGTTTGTCAACCTCCCCTTTGGCATTTCTAGCATGACAGACATAGTTGCGCTTCAGATCCTCAGCAGTAACTTTCTTGATGCTCAAAATCTGAGTTCTCGTTTCATCCTCTGTTTTAGTCTCACTTACACTAGAAATGGCGGAGAGAAAATCAAAGCGTTAGTGAGATTCAAGAGCCGGGCCCTGTGCGTTGAGTCGGATGAGTCAGCAAACGCATAGACCCCCTGTGAGGACAGACAGGGTGTGGACGGGCTGTGTCCCTGTGACCCAAGGGTTCCAAAAGAGTAAAAGCTCCTAGACTCCACCGACTATACAACACACAATTCCGATATCCAGGTAAAATTCCATTGTGGGCATCATACTATAGATCTTCCTTCAAAGCAAAACGGCTCCTTCCCTCAAACTTCTGGGGCAGGCTGCTCTATCAGTTTAGAGAGATTCTTCGAGGCCATATTCATCTGGGTTTTGATGCAGGTTTTGGCATGTAATGGGTAGAAACTTTGAGGAGGGTAACCAGTCTTTCCATGTCTTGAATTCTGTCTTTGAAAAAGTGTCAAGTAGCAATGCCTACACAGTACATGACACGTATTAACTAAGGCAAGAATTCTGAGGCTTGAATATGTTAATGTGTAAGAATTAGAGCAACACTTAATAAATATTCATGCATGTCATTATTGTCATCTCACAGTAATAGTTGATGCACTTCAGGGATTCCCAAAGCTTGGATTTTGAGGTAGAATATTTTGGTCAAAATGCTGAAACCTCATATTTAAATCCTAACATACCAAAGTAAGAAACTTCTCAGAGAAAGTTAACTTTGTGAAAATAAATATATCCACATCTTATCAAGTTATAGATCAAGTGCTTTGGGTCCAAGATCAAGATTTAAGATAACTTCAAACCACTCTGCTCAAAAGGGAAAAAAAAAATCTCTTTTCTAGCTGACGGAAACCCAGGTTCTTCTAATAAGGCTTACTGTCAGTCATGGGAACTTGGTTAAGGGCTGGGATGGGTTTGGAGCTTAACTGCACTGCTCAACTGTGAATGGTGACTTGTGCTTCAATAGCAGCAAGGAGGAAATTTTCTATTATTATTATAGGATAGAAGGCACAATATTCAAAATTCCTGAAATGATCAGTAACCCTCTCTCTGTGCTTTCAGCTGCATCTTTGATCAATTCCTTCTACAAAAACTGTTCCAATTTCAGGAAGCTCCTTCTGCACTTTTAAATATGTCCCACTTCTCTAATATCCAGGCCTTTGAACAGGTTGCTCCTTTTACCAGGAACATCTTTTCAATTTCTTAATCTAGTTGATTTCTACTCATTTTTCAAACCATTCTTTAGGTACTGTTATCATCTGAAAAGCATGACCTAGTCCTTTAAAACTGACTGAAATCTCCAACTAAGTCTTCCCATAACATCCCCTAACATAAATGGGATACTTTCCAGTCACTGCATTTATCATGCTATATTGAAATTTCTGCTCTATCACTGTTACTCCTATAAAATCTACTCAGTTAGGGAGTATCTTGCAGAGTGTCTGATGCAAAGCAGACATTATAATTTTTGCACACAGTCTGAGTTTAATACTAGGAAAGAAATATCTTTGCATTCTACAAGTTAAAATAGCCTAAGATCTATCTGCACATAGAGGATAAAGCTTAAGGTCTTAAAACTACTTTGTCATGCAGTTTGTCAGATGCTATTTTTTATTAATTGTAGCAGTGAGCCCATTGCTATCTTGCAGGTGTGTACTCATTTACAGAGGCATCTTCTGTCTTCAAAGACCTGTATTTTCCTCTTTATCAACCTAATCCCTTTCAAAAGAAGTCATGTTTATTTAGAAACAAAATGATCCAGCTTGTGATTTAAAGAGTGAGTTGTTACCACCCATCCACTTTAAAAATAAAATTTAAAGAACATGAATGTATTTAGCCAGTATTTAAAAAATAACTATCAATTATAAATGTGACATATATGCTATGTGAATTAAGAGAGAGAAGGAAGAAGATAGGAAATACATGCTTATGGGAAGACAGGAGACTAATACAGCTCTCTGAGGCACAAATATATAGGCCCAGATCCAAACTTGAGGAAGAAAAGAACAAGGCTACACTGACAAGCTCTCATCTACCCACAACCCTATTGTGCGGGTTTTTCATTCACATCAGGTATGTACTGCATCTTCTTGCAAGTGGGTATCATAAATGCGCAATCAGCTAATGGCAGCTCAGTCCCAGTTTGCAAGTCCAGTAATCCTGCTTTGGGGTCTTCGGGATCGGTCATTAAAGACTTGCAAATCTTGCTGATTTTTGTGAATGATGAGCAAAAATTAGAATTTTCATTTAATTGATTAGGATACAATGAATTTATTTTTTTCAGTATTCATTTTCATTTATTAGGGCATTTTACTGAGGGGCAAATGTTAGCCACCCCCTTTCCTGAGCCAATGATACCTTTCATTAACAGTTACATCAATAGTGGTGTCGTCTGGTTTTTTTCCATCAATGGTCCACCAAACCTCATTGTGAGAATCCTTCACAAAAGTAAAAAAGGCTGTACAGGGGATGAGTAGCTCCTCTCCTGAAAAAAAAAACAAGTTAACCCATCAGCTTGTAACCTCCACATGGTTAAAACCTATATTAGTAGTCTACTCCATGACAAACCAGAAGCTTTAAAAGTGTATCTAAAACCCTACCCTACCTCTGATAATTTTCAAGTGGGCTACTATAAGGTACTGTACTATATTTTATTGCAAAACAAACCAACCAAAAACAAAAGGACAGCTTTATATAAAATTACTAAAATGACTATTTTTAATACAATCCATATCTGTTCTAACATGACAGTATTTGTTCAGAAAGGCTCTGACGACATCCTTTTTTAGCACTAAGCCTCCATGGACCACTCTTCTCCTTTGTTATCTCCCTTACAAAGGCTGACTAAGGAGAGGTTCTCCAGATCCTTGGTCCTTGGCCCAGAGAAGATGGGCAAAGCCATCGTTGAGAGGACTGCATAGGCAGGCCACATCTTGAAATGCTCAAGCTGTCAGGATACAATCAGTTTAAAAATGATGTATAAACAGAAATTCTATGCTATCGTTCTGAGATAGAACATGGGATTAGAGGGATCTCCAGGCAGAACTGGTAGTGGTAGGAGTAATAATAGTAACAATAACAACAATAACAGCAGCACCCTCCTGAGAACCCTGTACAAGTCACAACGCTAAGTATTTACACTTTATAATGGTCTTATTTAATTTTAATTAAACAATGTTAGATATTTTTAAATTCATGTTTCACAGATGTGAAAACTGAAGCTTAAAGATGTTAAATGGCATTTCTAGATCAAATTATTATTAAGTGGCAGGCCAGGATTTGACCTAAATGGACCTTCCATTCTATTCTACTTTGCCCAGAATAGTTCTGTTTGATGCTTACTTTCCTAGTTAGTTAATACCAATTGCTTGCACTATTTAAGAGTATCCAGGTTGAAATGATAAATTATACTGTCATCCTAATTTGAACTCAGGTCTGTCTCACTGCTCATACTCTAGCCTCTCTTCCACTGCATGGTTCTTAGGCCTTCCCTCCAGTTTTCTATATCAATATGTAGGAAGACAAAGTGAACATGGATTCAGGCATGCTTTTGTAACCATATGACACATACTTAAGTGATTAATAAGGATTTACCCTGAAGGCAGGAAGAATGTTCATATTACTACATAAAGCTACTACTAATTCTAGGAAATGTGGTTGATTGGGGTTGGCAGACCCCTCAGTGTGTTCTTTGCTTTTTTACAAGGCAGATCACTATCTGAAACCTTAACTTAATTGTGTGTGTGTGTTGTGGGGGAGGATTGATCACTGCCTCTATTCTCTTTAAGATATTTTAAGCAAATGTTCATTTATAACTCTAATTAGGTTTAGAGTAAATTTATTACAAATGATACAATATAGAAAGTGTTAAGATTTTCTATGGTTTTCCATTTAACTGTAGGAGGCTCTGAGCCAGAAGAATAAGAAATTATGCTTATCTGGTCAGTTACAAATGATTTTTGTCTAGAATGAAAAAAATGTGAAAACGAGAAGAAAAGCCAGCCAGCCATAGGATGCATTCAATAGTATTTGGAATCAGGGTGCACTAGTTCCTCAGCTGTTACCTATCATGTTCACAGTCCAGCTTCTACCCTTTGGAGTGGAGCAGGAATTAAAGGATGTCTTATGCTCATGCTGAAGTCTTGGCAAATCAAAGCCATGCGCAAGCTAAAGTTTGCATCAAACAGAAATCGCTAATCAGGAGAGGAAAACCGCTCACACAGAGGAAGGGAGCAGCTGCTGAGAGAGAAGCAGAGTCCCTGAGTTGCCCTGGAGATCAATGAAGGAGCTAATCCCCAGGGCTGTCTTGGTTTCTGATAACATTTCACTTTCAATTCATGTGTTTCTTTCCAATAGCCCTCTATTCTCTAGCATTAACTTAAGTGACAATTCAATCCTTGTAATTAAGAGAATCCAACTGAAATTTAGAGGCACAGCTATAATTACCAGGTTCCTTCTCATAGACTACAAGATCGTTGGGTGAGAAGATCAGGGGAGGTGACGCATCTTTTGGAGAGCCTGTGATAGCAAAAAAAAAAGGAAGTTGATGTTAAATCATGTAGCTTTTATCCCTCATAAACCATTTCAAAAAGCTGCTCTTCTGTGAAGCCTTGCCCAACTTGCTGGCATTGTTTGTCAGTTCTTCTTGAGGGGACCTACAATTCAGCATATAGTCAATTGCAATACTTCATTCATTTAAAATAAGCAAACAAACAAAGATAACATTGAATATCCTCCATATTTCAGGATAGAACCTTTTTAACCAGTGCCTTCTTCCCCAAAGTTTCTATGAGATAGATTTCTCATACTACATAATAATTCATAATAATTAATTGCTTTCATATGTTGCTTAATTGTTTCTTTCCTACACATTTTTTCTCAACATACTTAGAACGTCTAATATGGAACCTGGTTAAATAAGTATTAAATGAATGGAAAATTCACAAGCACAATTGTGAGGCCAGCATGCAAGTCATCTACCTGATGTCTGGCTATTAACTGACTGTTCATTCATAGGCTTACTGCTCTTTGTAACATTCTACACTCCTAAACTGAAAGAACAATACCTCAAAGAGGCTTAATAGCATAGTGTTTAAGTGTAGAAGCTTCAAAGATTTAATGGCCAAGGTTCTAATCCTGACTTGGCCATAAACTAATCATATGACTCTAGTTTTCTGCTTAATCTTCAAAAAGCTAATTCCTCAGCTCTAAAATGAAGATAATAAACTCACCTCACAATTCATTTTGAGGATTAAATTAAGCAATGCATATTAAAGCATCCTACTGGTATATAAGTACTCAATGGATCTCAGCTTTAAAAAAACAAACCTGTGTTTAAAAGTTGGATATGAAACTGCCAACACACACATCTGTGTCTGTCAACTTTTACATCTATAAATCAAGGTGAACAAGCATGCCTGCTCCCAACTTTCCAAATATATTTAAATATATATAAATACATATATATATATATATGAAATAGCTGCCTACATGAATATAAAGTTAGATAATTGATTTGACTTTTAAAGTCCTTCATGTCAGGTTCTAAATTTAGTCTAATTTTTCTTTTGAATTAGTCCTTAACTCTGTATTATTCCAAAAGTAAACATTTACACATTTGCTTGTAATAAACTATTAAGAGAAAAAGAAAAGATAAGCGATTACACAATTGTTCAATTTGAATTTTATTTGTATTATGTTAAAGCCTTTCAAAAAAAACAGTCTGCTGACTCTAATGTCAGACTAGCAGAAAAAGCCCTGAAAAGATTCTGGATTTAGAATCACTTCTTCCATTAATTTAGAGAGCATGTTTAAATAATTTACGTTCTGTTATTGGGCCTCAATGTTTCCATCTGGTAAAAGATGGGACATGCTATCTTTTTTAATATAGTTGACACAGTGGTATTTAGGGCTTTACTATAAATGCCACCTATCCTGACACTGGTTCTCTTGACTTCTGGGTTTGCTAGGAGTCTGTTGACTCTGCCTAGACATTGTCCTTTCTACTTTCCTAGTTTTCTATTTTCTCAGTACAAAGCAATGGTTGAGCCCTACTAGCAAGTAGCTTCAGCATTACCTACAACAGTTCTACTACTCAGAAAGACACAGTTTACTTAATTCAAGTTAAACATATTTTTGACAATATTAACTACTATTCGTTGACTCTGTTGCTTGCTTGTAACTGCATTAGCATAATATACTACTTCTGATATTCTAAACTGTACTGAATGCTAGGCAATCTTAGTCCCAGAGTTTAGATAAAGAGATTGAGACTTTGATCATAGTTAATATTGTTAATAAATGACAATGGTTTAATTTGAACACAGGTATATCTGGCACCCTTTTCAGTCCCCAAACTGCCTTTACTTCATTCATTCACATATCTGTTCAGTAGACCAATACTTAGTAAAATCCTATTATGTATGTGGAATTGCTAAAGGCTCTCGGGATAGTGTAGTGAACAAAAAAGATAAGCCTCTGTTCTATAGAATTTACACATTTGCTTGTAATAAACTATTAAGAGAAAAAAACAAAATTATGGCCTTTTGGCTGTGCACTTAACACAAATCATGCTTACCTACCACCTTTACAGACAGAGACCTGGTGAGATGGAAGGTACGCCCATTTTCCAGATATGTAACAACACATGTGTAATCTCCATTATTTGAAGTCAAGGGTATGAGAAAACTCAAGTTCATGCCTTCAGGTATTACATTATGAAAGTTATATATTTTTTGACATCCCTAGAAGTAAAAGAAAATATGTTTACTACTGCATAGAAAATATATAAACACATATATATACACATCTAATTTTGCACAGAGTGTATCTATGCTGGCTGTACTGTTTGTAGACTCTTTTGGCCACTTATTTGATGATGCTTCTGCAAAGAATGAACGTGGTAAGTTTCATTATCTTTTCAGCAAAAGAAAAATCAAAATTCTGAACTAAGACATTAATTCAAAATTTACAAATTTCTCGTCTAAGGATTCAGTATTCAGATTACGAGAATTCCTATTACTAGTGAAGCAAGATTTAAAGTTTTGAGAAACGACTAAGGCAACTTAAGCAAATGTATGTAGTGCTATTTAAAAAAAACAATTATTTTTCATTTTTCCACATCTCTTCACTGATTATATCAGTTCAGGAATCCAGTCACTCTGGCAAAGTAGGCCTCAATGTAGATGTCTGGTTTTGGCATTCCTGATCATTCTGCTGAATCACCATACCAGTCATTTCCAAACTTTTTTGTGTTTTTCTTCTACTTATCCCATTTTTAACAACTGAATATTACAGACTCCAGAATCTAAAAATAAAAGACATTTTATGAATCTCGCCAAGAGTTAAGAGTTTATTTCTGTTCCAACTCCTATTTTCATGTAACTCTGCTGATTTTCAAATTTTTGAGATTGAAATGTCTCATTTAACATAGCTAAAATCTTGTTTTGGAACTCCTAGCCCCATAAACTAACTATATTATTTTTTCATTTTAAAGGAAAACATCAATACATCACCTGTGACAAAAACATATGTTAAACATTTACTTTTAGAAAAATTTTGTGTTTGTTTTTCTTTTACATAAACCAATAATTCATTTATGAAAAAAAGGATTGGGTTAGCTCTAAGGTCATTTAGATCTTTAAAATTCTGGGAGGTTATTACCAGATTGTATTGTCAATTTCCTGTTTTACATACTTAGGTTTAATTCTTGTACACTTAAGGTTTTCTTACCTCAATTCTTGAAGCGTGCACTTTGAAATATGACAGCTACACTAAGTGACATATTTTGTAATTCTTTGTTACAGGAAATATGTTTTTTCAAGAACAGCACTGAAGTTTTGATGTATGGAGATGATCATCAAGAGGAAGTAATACATGTTCAGTTACATTTTTTTTAATGCAATTTTTCCTGTTTTGATGCAATTTATGCAGTACTTCTAGACACTTGCCACATCAGCAAAATATTTCAACACTTAGTTTATTACAATGTATAAGGCCACAAAAGCTTACATTCTTATAATGAATTTACATCAGATTTGGTTTAAATTGAGTTCAGACTATAGAACTCTACTTCATTTTGTGGCACCTTTCATTTAAAAAGTTCAAAGCTATTTTCTTCTTTCATTTGTTAGCTTAGCTGTTCTTAAATCTCTATAAAGCTGACAGAGCAGACTACATAAGCTCTAGCTTTACAGGTGGAAAAAAAATTAGACAGGCAGGTCAAGAGATATTCTAGATAACACAGTGCAGAGCTAAAACTCAGTTTTCCAGATAGCTGAATCTTTCAGATGGCCAGTCTTCCAGTAGCTTCTTAACCAAGAATGAACAACTCTTGTCAGCATTAGTCAAGGCTGGAAAAATACTGAGACATGCACTTACATGAACTCTATTTTCTCATCTGATCATTATTCCAAACCTAGCAAGTTATGTCCATTTTATAGATGAGGATACAAAGGCCTAGAAAGGTTAAGTAATTGCCAGTGTCATAGAGCTAGGCAGTGTCAGAGCTGGAATTTGACCCTTTTAAATCCCAGCTGACACTGTCTCCCCACCCTATACTGTGGTCCTGCACATATGTCATACCTGGGTCAGCCCCAGTGTTAATATGTGATATGGCTCTATCACTTATGTGAAGCTGATTCCTGTCTCATTAATTAGTAGTAAACTGGAAAAGATTAGAAGTTTTTCAGGATCAGAAGTTAGCAATTAGTACTGAACTTGTCAACACACTTCTTAAGAATGTCATAAAAAGAACTTTTTTGACTTGCCAAGTATCATTTAAGTAAAAACTTTAAGATACATTGTTTTAGGACTCACACTATGTGCTATGAATGTAAAGAAATGCTTCTGACTCAAAGTTTGTTCACGCATTCACTTCTTCATTCATTCATTTATCCTTGAATATTAATCAATAAATCATGTGCCATGCACTATTTGAGATTCTGAGAACACAGCATTGAATAAAACAAAGAATTAGCCCCATGGACTTATGAATAGAGAAGTGGATCAGGCATGTCTAAATAACAAGGAAAGTAGTGCAAAACAGGCATGTGTTGATCTCTTGCTAGCTCCTTCTCTTTATTTATCTTATCCCAAACCATGAAGAGGAACTTGAAATTTGGACTAGACATATTTCCAGCTATTCATTGACCCTATGTGTCAGTGATGCAAATATGCTTTCTCTTGAGATTTCCCCTACTTTCCATAAGGTAGGATAAAAATATAGGCCAGGGACAATTTTTACTTAGAGCTACTTTGTCTAGAAAAATATTTCAAATTGAGGAATATATCATAAGAAGTAATGGGTAAGTCTGGGGTCTAATCTACTCTTCAGAGAACACAGACCATTAAATATTGTTTATTAGCTAATTTTAACTGAAAGAAAATAAAATAAAAGAAAGCCATTTGAAAGCAATTAGACTTATAGCATATTAGAAAAGGAAGTGAAGGAAACATTTTACATTCTAAGTGTGTATTTGTATGATAGGGTAGCTTCAGGGCATTTTTGAACTATAAATACTCATTAACTCTAGTCCGTGGCATCTGATGAGCTCTTGCTATTTCTTATAAGCAGTTGCATCTCTCGACCCTTCGACACATGCACCTGAGACACACAGGATATTTTTAAACGCATGATGAACCATTCCTGAAAATAAGTCCTGCCAATTTTATGATACTTTCAAAATTATTTATTTCAAATCCATGAGAAAAAGATATGAACAAAGATATAGATACCCAAAGAATAAAAAAAAAAATTCTCTCCACATAGGAGAAATGGGTTTAACAGTGGATTTCCATTATGAAGCAAACACTTGTTTGACTAGAAGACAAGTCATCCATTTAGTTGACCAGTCAGTTCCTCATTCTGAATTCAAAAGGGAGAAGTTAAACAGGAGAGCAGCTTTCCAAGCACGTAATGGTAGCCAACACAACCTACCACAATGTATAAGTAAAGAAATGTAAGAAATGAGCAAAATTCTTGAAAGGAAATAAATCATGTGGTGAGATGTTAGCTGTGGGGGCAGGGGGGTATGTCATGACTAGGTAAAGATATTTTCCTATTTTTTGAGAGAGACTTATAAACAATATCTAACCAGTTATGATTAATTTCACATTGAAAATTACAGGTGGAGGTAATATACCAATTTTAATGATCACACTGGGTACAAAGACAACCAAATTTTCCAAATCCGGAAGGTTAAACAGCAGTTGAGAGCGTTTCAGTTGCTATAAATGATTACATTTCCAAAACACTCAGTGAAGAGGTTCCTCTGATTCTCAGTAAGGAGGGGAAAATAGCCTTTGTTTTTTGTAAGTGTCTCTGGAAAAAAAATCAAATATGCAATTATAACAATGAGAATCAGAAGTAGTCTAGTAATATGAAAGTTCAGCTGGCTTGCCATACTTTAAAGCTCAGGTGTCTCTAAGTAAATCTAATAGTAAAAACAAACAATCACCACAAAGAATCCCATGTACATGTGCATTTACTGCTATATATTTGGAAATTCCTATGTGAGAAAACAGGCAGCTTCCAATATATTCACATGTTTTGTTCTAGAAGTTATTTTATAAGCTAGCTATTTGAAATTCAGTTAATCACTCGTAAGCCATGGTTTGCTTTCCAGGCTAGTCACAAAATCTGGCTTATTTAACAAACATTTACTGAACATCAATTTAACTCACAGGATTGCTGCATTAAAGAACTGTGAGTCTGGGCCCTGAATAAAGAAAACCCTGCCAAGCAGAAGAGATGAGGCTAAGCAAAGACAGGCAGAGGAGGAGAATTTAATCCTGCCCCATTTCCCCTGCAATTCTGAAATAGAAACTTTTGACATTCTGTTCCTAGCAATCTCAGTTTTCTGAACCCTCTTTGACTTCCCAGGGCCCTCTATCCTCAGGTTTCTGTATGTCCCACCATCCCATTTATAACCCACTCTGTATTTGAAGATTGCCCTGCCCTTCAAAGTGCCCAAAGTTCCAGAAGAAAGGGCTGGGCCACCCTTTCTGTGTCATTTCTGGGGAGTATAGGCTTCAGAACCAAATAAAAATTGGCCCTAAATCTCAGACTCTTGCATCATCAGCTGGACTGTTTTGAGTAAATTATATAAGGTAAAGTAGAAGTCTAGGCTCTTGATACAGATTGCATAGGGGTAAATCTTAGCTCTTAACTCTGTGACCTTGGGCAAATCTCTCAACCACTCTCTACTTAGTAACTATAAAATGGAGAAAACAAGATTGCCTATTTCATGTTGAGAAAACTAAGCAACATAACTAAAGCATTTGGAAGAATTCCTGTGTCCAATAGTGTTTTCTATTTTTGTTTACCTCTCGGAGCCTCTGGTTCTTAATCTGAAAAGGATATCTACCCTAAAGGATATGATTAACATTCCATATAACATATAAAGTACCTAGCATAATGTATTTTACATTATAAAATGCAAGAAATGTTAGTTTTCTCTCCTTCCTTTTTTTCAGTTTCCGTCTTTCTGTTAAGAGGAAAGAAAATTTTCTGGAACTGATTATCTTTTAATGCTCATAGAGTTAACTGTGTTACTAAAAGAGACTATTTTTTAAAATGTCAGAGTAGGAAGTCAGTTGATGTAAGAGGGCCAGGATATGAGGTGGATGAAGGGAGAAACTGTAGAAGGTAGGAAACAGAGAGCAACGTGAGCATTCCCATGCACTCCTACATACGGGACAATGTAGCTGCAGAGAACCTGACCTTTTTGCAAGATGGCAGAGCTCTTAGGCTTAAAAGTGTCAGTCATTATCCCACAACAGAGAAATCAGAAGCAATACACCACACCTTAATAGCACTCTTTCCACAATCGTAAAGTAGAAAGGATGGCTGGTAACTGGTTGTCCTTTTCAGTCACCTCAACATTGCTGGTATCGGCCATGGTGATGGCTTTACTGCTAGGACATTTTTTGTGTGATTCTTTTTCCAGGCTTTCTGCTTTCATTCACCATATGAACATTCTCTCCAGATTTTGACCTAAGTTCTTTTCTCTTCTCCTTTTATTTTTCTTAAGAGCTTCAACTATTACAGAGATGCATCCAGTTCTCTGTCTCCAGCTTTGATTTTTCTTCTGAGCCCCAAACCCATTCACAAGTGGCCTACTGGCCACTGCCCCCTAGATGTCTGACAGACACCTCTGACTCAATAAGACATTACCTAAATCTATTGCTTGCTCCCTAAACCTAATACTATGCCTCTGCTATTTCATGCCTTGGTTAATAGCACCAACATTCATGCAGCTAGGAAATACAAAGTCTGAAAATCATTAGAGATACAGAGTATATGCAGTAACTTTGCCCCCAAGAAATAGATAATCTCATAGAGTATAAGCATGTACATTTCTCCCTCCTTATAACTAAAAATAGATACTCTTCGGCACTTTTGTGGAACTTAGAATCCTACTTCTGAAAAGAATAGGAATTATTAATGATAAACTTATCTGAACTAAAATGTAAGATCCATTAGAACTATGTAAGGCAGGAGATATATCTTATTCATTACTGTGTCCCCCAAATACCTGACATATTGCAACTGAACAGAGTTAATCTTCAAGAAATATGTGTTGAATGCACATATGAATGACTATAAAATGATAAAGGAGTGAAAATGACATGTAAATAGACATAAATAAAAAGATAAGGGATTATATGAGGGAAACATTATTTCTAGCTGGACAGAACAGGGGACATTTCATGAAGGGGGCAGAATTGGACCCATTTTAAAGGAAGAAGACAAGACATTCCAGGCAGAGAGAATGAATGAGGAAAAAGGAGAGGAAAAAAATATAGAATGGGTAAGAGAATAGAATTTTTCCAGACCACTGAGTACTCAAAGTATAGAAAAATTAACAGAGTTGGAGATGAGAGAAATTGATTGTGGGTAAGTAGATGAATACATTTTTAAACTTGGAAATGTATTACACTTATTGATGTAAAATTGCTAATATTACTTTTTAAATAATTTTTATGCTATTTACTATAGAAAATTACAATCATAGAGAGAATAAACAGTGATTCCCCTGTATCTACACCTACCCTCAAAAGTACCAATTCAGGCTGTCTCATTTCATCTATAACCACTTATTGTACCTAAAGATTATTTTGAAGTAAATCACAGACATTATACAAGTTCATTTGTAAGTATTTCTGTGTGTGTCTTTAAATGATGAGACACCTTATGCAATTGTAACTATAGTTCTGTTATCACAATTTAAAAAGTAATAACCATTCATTGCATTATTAATATTCTGTCTGTGTCCATAGCGCCCTGATTTCCTCACAACTTGTTTCATAGTTTGCTTGAGTAAAATACAATCCAACTAAGGTCTATACACTGCAAATGGTTGTTATATATCTTAAATCAGTCTGTCTCAGTCTCTCTCTCTCTCATTGTCTCTTACCTTCTCTTGTTCTTCCCTTCCTCCCTACTTTTCTCTCAATCATTTTATTATAATACAAAACACACTCAAAACATATGTGTGATTTAGTGAATTACTATACAGAAAATACAAAAGGAAACACCTTTGTAACCACAATTCAGAAATTCAGATCCAGGAATAGAATGTTGCCAGCCATCCTTGAAGGCCTTCCATATGCCCCATGTCAATCACAGCTCTTATACAAGCCCCCAAAGTAGACTCTATGTATACTTTCATAATAAAATCACTTCCTTGTTTTTATTTATAACTGTATCAGGTATATGTGCATCCTTATACACTATAGTCCCATCCATTTTTAAATGCATCTATATGTGTTTCTTTTAATCTATACATCCCAATACCATGCCTTTCTTTTTCTTACAATTTATCTGTTGAATAACCTAAAGCATTTGACCTACAGTATTTTCCTTTGAATGTTGCTGACTGCAAATTAATGGTGTAGATCAGTACATTCCTCTGTTCACTCTATTTCCTGGAAAATGGAAGCAAGATCCAAAAGTTTTATAAGGTTCAGGTTTAAGCCACTTAGCACAATTATAAGTGATACTGTGTTCTTTCACCAGAAGGAATCTATCTGGCTATTTCTCTTCTTGTGATATTAGCAGTCACTGATACTTAATGTTTAAATTGATTAATTTATTGGGGATTGTAACATGATTACATACTTTTATAAAAACACTTCTCTGTACTTTTTCATTGCTCAGGGTACATTTCTTATAGGGAAGAAATAATGTATACTTGATTTTCTCCTTTATTTACTAGTTTTAAAGATAACAAATTGATTTCCTATCAATATCCAAATGTGACCAATTACATATTTTGAAATATCATTTCGAACTTACGGATTTAAGCTTAATTCATGGGACTCAACAAATGGTGATAAACACCCTTACTGAAGTAGAAATTGTTCCATCTTTGGCTGCTTGAAAACTCTTAAACTTGCCTCTTGTTTCTTTAATGATCAGTTAGAGACAGGTGATAAAATTTTCAATTATGATTATGTAATTGTCTATTACTACTTTTAACTCAGTTAACATTTGCTTCATGCATTTTGAAATACTGTTTTAGAAACATTTATTTTTTATACCCTCCTTGTGAACTGGTCCTTTAATTATTCTGAGATGTCCTCTTTTTCTCTGATAATACACATTGTCTTAGAGTCTACTTTACATGATATTGGTATATATCCTAATCTTATTTTTATTTATCATTTATTTTCACTTATTCCCTTCAATTTCTATTAATCTTTAGACATTATCTATTGGGTTCATTTGCTGTTATGTTCCTCTTTAGCTTCATTTCTGAAATGACTTATTTTCTTCTAAGATTTTATTGACTTATTAACTTATGGACTTTTCTAATTCTTATTAATTTATTTAATCTCTCCTAGCCTGTATCATTTCTTAATGGCTTTTAGTTAACTTTTGAAGTAGTAGATTACAATATGTCATGTTCTTTTTAATACAGAAATGCTATTCTGGCTCTTATTCTCCTTTTTCCTTATAACTGTGAATGGAATTTTACCTTGATTCTTTTTTGTTGCTCATTTCTATGTGAAATAAGCTTTTTTTTGAGCTTTGGAATTTGGCAGGATTTCTAACTTCATGGGGATCCCTCTTCAAAACTGTACCTTGAGATTCCCTGACACTATTCTGCTCCTCTGTTTTTAGTTGGTCCTTCACTTTCCTTTCTATATATTGTGTAATTCTGAATCCCAGCAATTTCTCTTCAGTGTGGGAGACAGTTTTTTCAGTTCTGAGGCATTAGACTATTCCAATCCCTTCAAAATTTCTTACTGTAGGCCTCTTGGATTCAGCATATATTAGGGAGCAAAATCTCTCCCAATTTCAGCTACTGCTTTCAAATTTACTCATACTTCCCAGTAAGTACTCACCAGCTTTCTGGGGGTCCTCCACAAGTCTGCCAGATGCTGGTGGCTCACCTCACTCACTTCACTGAAGGAAATTCTTATGGATAACTTGTCACTGTTTTATTTTAAATATTGTTAAGAGTTTTTAGCTTTGTCTATGCAGACATTTGAAAAGATTAAAAACTTTGCTACTGACACAACTGACACCTTCCAGCATTTTGATTTTTGATTAACACTTTCCAAATCCCTCAGATATGGAAGAGACCACAGATGGGCTCTGCCCACAAATCAGGGCAAACATGAAAACCAAAAACAAAATACCTCACCGACTGATCAAGGAGTCGATATTCACCAGATGAATTAGCAGCTTCTGACTCCACTCAGCAGTCAGTAGAAGTGGGCAACATTTCTCAAACTGTACTTCATAGGAAGTTAATAGAAACAAAGTAGTTCTAGCAGTTCAGTGACTGTAATTCAAGAAGTGGTGGGTTAGGCAAACAGTTCACCACTTCCTTTAAAATGGTAAAAAAAAAAAAAAAGAGGAAGTGGTGCATGACGGAAGAAATGAAAAATCTCAGTTTCTCTATTAATAAATAATTATTGCTATTTTAGAGAAGGCAAAATGCCTTCTAGCTTGCTTACCATATACCAAGTGATGTTTGGTTTGACACTGGAAGGAAAATATCCATCTACATTTGGACATGTGATCTTCTGAATACCATATTCTAAATACAGCTTATGCAGTGGGAGTTTCATGGAAGAATTGAAGCAGCTACCTTTCTGAACAACTTCCAGAGGAAACGCAACTTTGCTGCAATATGTGGTATTCCTGAAAAGAGAAATATGCAATGAAAGGGCAATCTCATTTGCATTTGATTTAATGCAGCAAACATTAAAATGAGCTAAATGAAGTAATGCTATGCATTGAGACTTGATTTATATGTGTGAGTTCATCTAAGAATTAAATGTACTGTGGAGGTATTTCCTATATGAATTTGAATCATAGAATAAAAACTGACACAATTAAGTATTACTGATATATTAAAATATTTACATTTTAGATGTGTTCCCAATCATGTGTATGTGTTTTTGTATGTATGTATATATGTATATTTGTATGCAAGGACACATATATATAATATATAATTTTACCCTTAAGACATTCTCAGTAAGACTCAGTGTTGGTAAGAAAAAGGTAAGAATAGTGTATAATTCATAGCTAATAATGTTATAAATAACCTTTGGAGAAGAAATATTTTTTAAAAACAAAACAAAACAAAAAAAAGCTTAGCTTTTGCCCTACTAATTCTATTATTAGAAATTTTTTCACATAGTAGAAAAATGAAAAAGTGGGGCTAGAAAGAGCACATGATCCAAAATGCCCACCCAGTGTTATATCATCAAGGAAGAGATGTGAATAAACAAGAAAATCTATGAAAAGGAAGACTGTAAAAAAAACTGTGGTAAAACAATTCAAAGTTGTATTTACCTATTAAAAAAAAATCAAGCATAAAGAAAAAAAGTAATAAATGCATGAAACTTCTTAGGATAACTATGGAATTGTATTTATGCTTGAATGTTTGCCCAGGTCATTTCATCATTTCATCTGCCTGTAAGTCTCTTCTCCCATCACTCCAACTTTCCACAGAGGTTCTCTACGTCATCCCCTATGCACCCGTATCTAACTTAGGTCTCACCTTCTCTGAGCATCGTGGACATTTCCTTGACTGAGTTTATCATAGTTCAAATAAGGGCATAACCATGTGTGCTTTCTTTTATTCCATGCACCCAAAACAGTGTGCAGACTTTCAGTAGGCATTGAATAAATGTTTGTTAGAATGGAATGGATATAAAACTTGTGTCCACATACAGGAAAAGAATGAAAGGAACTTAGGTAATAAAAATAACTGACTTTTAAGGGTGATGGTAAATGGGTCATTCACTGTCCACTCTTTTTTGTGATTTCTATTTAAAACATATGTTAGATACTCAACAGCTCATGAATTAGTATCAAATATAATGGAAGGTGTAGGGAAATGCATTCCCCACCCCAAGGTTGGGGGAGGGGGGAGAGTTATTTAAAGATGACTTAGGTCAATGGTAATAAGGTGGGAAGGGAGAGTGTCAGGCATGATCTCTACCTACAAATAACAAAAGGTCCACTAGGTTGAAGTCTTCTGTACATGGATGTTATAGAAGGCAAACTTCAGCTTAATAAGATACATACTTTGATTAAAAAATGATAAATAGTGGTTAGACTGACTTTTCTGGCTCCAAAATCAAATCTGAATGTTGTCTTAATAGGGGTATTGATGTAAGAATACAATCAGTAAAATCCTGGGGGATGAATCTTGACCTTATGGCCTTAGAGATGTCAGGCCTATGATTCCACTTGATTCAGCTGAAGATCATTTTCAGTCTAGGAATCACCTCAGGACAAAGAGAAGCTTTTGGTATCCTCACCTCACAAGTTCAATTCTAGATTTTCTTTAAAGAAACAGAAGATAGGCAGACAAGCAAACTGAAGAGATGACAATCTGGAAACTGATACGTAACATAAAAGGTATACTCAGGCCTTAACAGCCATGCAGCCCTGCTCCTATAATATTAAAGAAGGTCAGAAAAATTTGGGAAGGAGCTCTCCATATGTGGTGAGTTGCCAAGGAAAAGGAAATAGAGATACTATAAACACTAGAATGCATAGTAGAGACCAATGTCATCTAGAAAGCTACTGATGACCCCTTCCCAGGTATTTGCTGATATTCCAATTATGAAATGTTAATGGAATAATTGTCAAAGATGAAAAGGAGCTTGAAGAGGATTTCGGGTAACTTCCTTATTAGTGGATACAGATACCAAAGCTTTCAGATGTACACTGACCAGATGAGCAGTAGCAGAGCTAGGACGACAGCCGAGTTTTTCTGTCTTTTCATCCAGTGCTCTTTCTACTATAACCTGTTCTAACCTCTCCTACAAACCTGTATTAGGACATAAATAATGGACATATGAGTATATTTCAGACTCTTTGGAAGTCCACACATCAGTCTAGAGTCCACTGCAATGAAATCGAAGAGTGAGATGAAAGCCTTAGAAGAGTTTTCAGAAGTTACAAGGGACTCCCAAAGCCACAGTGATCAAGAACTGCTTTTCTGTGAAAGAGAAGAGGGCCTTTTTAACCTAATCATAATAGAGCTTAAAGTAAGAAGAACACACTCATAATTCACCATCAGAAAACAGTTAGCATCCATGAGAGACAAGGGACATTCAGAAAAAGGTCTAGGATTACCTATTACGTTATTCTAAGCTGCTGTGTTTTTGTGTTTTACTATTCAGCCCTATTGTTATGAGCTGAACTGTGTTATCGCCAAATTCATATGTGGAAGACCTAAGCCTCAGGACCTCAGAATGTGACTCTATTTTGATACAGACCTTAAAAGAGGTAATTAAGGTAAAATGAAATCATCTAGGTGGGCTCTAATCCAATATGACTGATGTTCTAATAAGGAGAGATTAAGATACAGAAGACAGAGGGGACAGCACGTGAAGATAGCTATCTACAAGCCAAGGAAAGATGAATAAAACCAAGCCTGACAACACCCTATATTGGATTTCTGGCCTCCAGAACTGTGAGAAAACAAATTTTTATTTATTTTTTAATGATACCCAGGCTGTGCTATTTTGTTTTGACAGCCCTAGCAAACCAATACACCTATCAAATAGTATGAAATTATGTATTTAAAAAAAGTCCATATCCCAGATGGGAGTTTAAAAATCAAAGTAAAGCCTAGAATCTAAGAAGGAACTTTGGGGGAAAAGTAACCAAGGAATTCCGCCTTAAATGCTTATTCTTAGCAGGGGCCTCTAGGTTAAACCCAGGAGCTAAAGGGAAAAGGGGGAGTCACCAAGAGTCCCTCTACCTTAGCATGCAGGTATAGTTTCCCGTGTCATTGAGGAGGGTGGGCCGGAACCAGAGTACGTCTTTCTCTTTACTAATGCGGTTCTCAGGCAGGCGGAAGTTAATTGGCTCCTCGAGGTCCCGGTCCTGCCTAGTCCAATACCAGATCAGAGTAAGGCCCACCGAATGGGCTGTGCTGTAGTTATATTTCAAGAAGTGTTCAAAGAGTGGGCACTTGATGCGCGCCGGCTCATCTTCAAACACTTGGATCTGTCTCATGGTATCTAGTCCCCAGTCGTCGCAGCGTTCTGGAACAACCAAAAAACAGAAAAGTTAGCCGAGTCATCTCATGCTAGAGACCTTCAGAGGCACACTTTCTCCTCACGGTGTCCAGTCTTCTCCCCTTCTCCGGCCATCTTCAATAGGTTCTCTCTAGTAACCGCACATAATAGGCACCTGTGATAGGAAGAGATGCCTTCTGCTCATTCCTTGACTGCCTCTTGAATAACCATTTGATCCAATAGTTTGATCCTATTGAACCCTTTCAGGTACTGGGGAGAGTCACACCAGAAAAAGAAATCATGTGCTCTTACATTCCTCTGGGGGAGGTTCTCAGAGGAAAACTACAAATTGAAAAGACAACCCTCCAAGACTCCCAGTTCTTCCCAGGTCTCCTGATTTAGGGTCTAGATCTGCTCAGGCAATGATAATATGATATATATACATATAATATAATATATAATATATAATGTATAATATATAATATATAATAAATAGATTCATGAGGAAAAAATGCATATGCAGAAGGTAAAATGAAGTTTGCCACTGACTTCCGTGGTTGTTTATTAGACAGCATTTTTCTGGCAGTAGATAACTGACAGAACAACTAAATTAGTAGCTACTTTAATTTTTATAAAAGCAAAGAATTTGAAGCTTTATGACTTGAGGAAGGATTTGTAATACATTCCTAAGTAAGTAATAGATCTCCACCAAATTTAACAAAGTGTCTTTTCCAAGACTTGACAAATTATTATTTATTGTTGCTAGGCTTTCATTAAAAAACACCTTTTAAAATCCAATAGAAAGAGAAAGAATTGGAAAGACCAAAAGATTTTGAATATCAATACAAACATGGTAATAAAATACTTTTTTAAATAAAACATCTGTCTTATCACATTCTTTAAATATATTTTCACTAAAACTACAGAGTTGAAGAATTAGCTCATTCAGGTCACAGGAAATCACAACCACAGCATTCTGGATAAATGTATCCAATTTAACATATGCAACCAGTTTCACTCTTTTCTGAAACTTCCCTAAAACCAAAATAATTTTTTTAAGACATAACCCCAACTAATAGCAAGAACAGGAAAAAGGACAATAGCAATAACAAAATGGACAAATGGTAATCAGCTTAGACAATTTAAAAAGACATATCTTAAGCAGTGGGGTGGGGGGAAACGAGAACAAAGCAATCTGTAGTTCACAATGCTTGAAAAGACCTAAGACGAACTATCAGCACCAAGACAGGAATCACTGGTGCTGTTCACCCAACAGTTCTGGGCTCTCTTCCTTACAATTGTGAGACAGTACTCTTCCGCCTCTCTAAAGTAAGAAGAGGCCATATGACTTAGTTTGGACAATATGATGGAATGGGTGTCACTTAGGGTGATTATTTTAAGGGTAAAATATATTGCACCATGCTCCCTTCTCTTCTGCCTTAGCAAATATAAAAGCAGAGATTGAGACTCCCTTAGGTTGGAGCCCTTGACATATAGCAAGAGAAAAAGAAACAGAAAGGTGAGCATTATTAGCTAAACAAATCAATGAAAATAGACTTATGCCACAAAAATATTTTTTCTTTAAACTGTGGAAAAAGAGAAGATTCTATCAACTACCAGAGAGTAAGAAAGGATGAAAAAAATGTTCACATAAGGTCTAGGAATCAGAATGGCTTTGGAACTCTCAAAAACAAGACTGGAAACTAGAAGATAATGAAGCAATGTACCCTGAAGGAAAATGATATCCAATCATGAATCTAAATCCCATGAGTGTGAAGGTGGCATTTTCAGGAACATAAAGACTCAGTAATTTTATTTTCCATATATTCTTTATCAGGAACATTCTGGGGGATTTATGCCAACAAAATGAGAGGGGAAAAAAAAACATTTTTATAATCCTCATTTACTATAATTAAAAGTTAAAAAGTAATGCTTTGGATTACTAAATGAAAAACAGCAGTATACACAAATTGACAAGCAAAATAAAGATAGACAATGGCAGAAGAAATTAATACAGTACTCCAAGAAGTGGCCTCTGATGAAGAGACCTAGTGGGGAATGAGGGAACTTAAGGCAGAAAGAGTATAATCATTCTGTTATAAGCCTTTTAATATGTTGGTCTTAAAAAATTCTCTGTGCATGATTTGCTTTTAAATAATTAATCTAATAATTAGAAAAAAGGAAGGAAGGAAATATGTATCATGTAATTCAATTGGCAAAGCCATTCTCAGTGTTGAACAATCCTAATCGTATCTACTTTCTGTTATAAAAAGTCTTGATTTCATTTTTAATTCTAAAATTTATATTAATATGCATTGGTATGAGATCATTTCAATTTTGCATTATACTATATAGTTCAAAAGAGAAAAGGACAGGCAGGTGGACAACTGATGGAGTGAAGAACATCACTATAAAGTTTGTTGTCTGGGTGAAGTAAGATGTAACTGCAGTGTGTATTTCATAAAATATTCTTTATACTGCTCCTAATGGCAACTCTTTTAAGGACTATGCACTTTTTGTCTGAATTTAGATATGTGAAGGTGAGATTATTAAATGAAAATTACATCCACACTCTATCTCAAACCAGATCACCCCAACTTGGGCCAATAGGCTACAGTTCTCATATTGTGAGTCACTCTTAACAGGAACACTGGTAAACTTGAGAGAAAGAGGAAGCCTTTCTGGGAACTAAGTGTGCCTAGATTAAAGGAGAGTTTCTGACACCAGTATTATAAATTGTAATTTCATTTGGTCTCTGCAGGTATTTATAGGCCTGGGCAATGATCACTAGTAAGATAGATGGTAAGTTTTCCTATGTAGAGAAGAATGCCGACTGTGAAAGGGAGGTGGATAAGGAGGGCTAGTGCTGACATCTCAACCACAAGCATGTACTCAGATCGACGCAGGAGGAAGTACGGAATGGAACTTTGGTGACCACAGGGCAGACTGACAGACGGGCTGAATGTTCATTGGTACGATTTTTACACCCTCGGCTGGTAGGAAAACCACATATCCTTGGCAGTTGGGCTGGGACCAAGCAATTTCATTCTGGACAGTGAATGTGGCCAGAAATGTTATCAAACGTGAAACTCCACGCATAATCCTTGATGTTCTCTCTCCTTCCCTTAAACGTAGACCTTGAAGGTTAGAAGTTTTTGGTAACAGTAGCATCACAAGATGGAAGGAGCCTGGATCCCTGCCATTGCTTGGAGCAGAACTCCTCCCGAATGCCAGCTCACTTTCCAGGGGCTGTGATAGGATGAACCATCAACCTCTATTGTGTTAAGCCACTGATATTTGGCAAGGGTTGGGGGAAGAAGGGGGTGCACATTAGTTATAGCAGCTCATATTGCCTATATTTATTAATAAAGGAAGGCAGAATTTTCTTTCCATAAAATAACAATAAATCCAGAATAGACCCTTTTCAAAATAGCATTTGTTAAAAGGCCCTTACATTAAAATTTAACTAATGATCAATCACCAAGATTTTTTGGCTGATTCCATAGAATTAATATCTTTTGTTTTTAATTGAAGTACAGTTGATATATAATCTTATATTGGTTTCAAGTATACAGCACAATGGTTCAACAATTACCCATATTATTAAATCTTTACCCCAACTAGAAGATGTTACAGAATCATTAACTATATTCTCTGTGCTGTACTGCCATCCTTCTGACCAACTTATATTATGATTGAGAACTTTTGTGCCCCTTTATCCCCCTCACCCTCCACACCCATCTACGTCAAACCCTCCCCATGGTAACCACCAGTCACTTCTCAGTGTCTATCAATTAATTTACATGGATTACATTTTAAAGGGGAAAAAAATCATTATACCTGCTATGTGTCTCCCTTGTTTACTAGGCCAAATAAATATATCTATGAAGTGAATTAGACTGCTTTACAGTAGGAACTGAAAATCATATATTAGTATTCATAAACCTTAGTGAAGATGATATTATTATGGAGCTTTTTCTTTGGCGTGTTTGCTCATTTGAATTTAGTTTTGTGAGTATTTAAGTTTCTCTAGACAGCCACTTGAACATATTTTGTCAGAGCTTTTTAAATTATTCAATGAACAAATAAAAATAAAATCTATGGCAGCAGACTAGAGTGTCATGTAATACCAAATTAATTGTATGATTCACTGTAGTTACCAGCAGAAGAAAAGACTCTTATGCAAATAGATTTGTCTCTAATAACAGCAAAGGGAATTTAGCAAATTACTGGCATGGTGAATTACTTTTTATTTAAAATGTCCCTTCTTGTCCAGTTTGCTCCACAGTGGAAGTCCTCTCTAAATCAGCCCTTCTACATGGGCAGCCACAGAGTCATCATTTCCCTCTGCCAAAGGATTTGTTAAGGCTGAGGTTTGGTGGCACAGGGGACTAATGGAAATGTGCAAAGCCTCGCAAAGCCAAGTCTGGAAAATCCAACCCACGCTCCTGACAGCAATTAGCATTTATATAGCAGGGTATACATTTTAATTAATTAATCTCACAACACCCTCTTGGGCTTTCATGCCCATTCCCACATTATGTGCCAGGAAAGGGAGACAGAGAGATTAATTGACTTACTTTTGCTCGAGTGGTAGCACAAATAAAGCTGCCTGAACATAGATCTAGGATGTTTGTCCCAAACCTATGCTCACACATTCGAAGCAAGGTATTTCCCACAGGAAAGCTATTCATATATTTGTATTTACTAAATATTTACTGAGAACCTGCTGTAAGCAAGTCACTGTGATGGGTGCTGGGGTTGAGAGACATGTGGATGTAAAAACTCAGGAAGCTCAGATATAGAAAAGAAAAAGATTTAAGTACTGGAAGAGTGGAACACTATGGTGACTTGCTTCCCATATTTATTTTTTATTTGCTATGTGCCACTCACCTAACACATAACCTTGAACAAAATACTTTCCCTTCAGACTCAATTTCTGCATGTGTAAGAACATGCCTATGTTAGAGTTGTATGAGAATTAAAGACAAATGAAAGGAGCTCAGTACATATCAGCTGAGTCTGCA